TGAAATGTGACAGTCATAAAGGAATTCAGCAACATATTTTGAACATGGCTGAAATGCTACAAAACTAAAGGCATTGGGCATGAACATGGGTGAGTCATTCTTAGTACAATTTGTTCTTAACTCACTTTCTTCGTAGTTTGCTCCATTCAAAATTTACTATAACACTAATAATGAGCAGTGGAACATGAATGAGCTTACTACCAACTATAGTTAGGAGAAAATGAGATTAAAGCAAGATGAACATAATTTTGCTCTTACAGTTACTCGTGGAGCTATGAAGACTAAAGGTAAATCTAGAAAAGTTAAAAATATTCCATTTAAAAAACAGAGTAGATGTGGGGAGAATAACCAAAGTCATGATGAAAAATTACTCTGAGTTGCTACTTTTGTGGCAGGAAAGGTCATCTAAAAAATGAAAGTGAAAAATTCATCTATATGGGAAACTGTCTCAAAGTAGAAGTGATAGTTGTAGGTACCAATCGCTTGCTATTAGAGACTGATCATCAAATAGATCTTTTGAACACTTTTTATATACATTCGATTTATAAAAATTTAATTTCACTATCCAAATTAGATATTATTGAAAATTGGGTTTATTTTGGTTGTGGAAAAGTAAGTTTAGTGTTTAATTCAATGATAGTTGGTTCCGGTATTTTAAATAATACTTTATATAAAATTCATCTGAGTCATGAGCTTTAGTTACCTTGCATTCAAATATTGGTTTAAATTGTGGATTAATTAATGAAAATTATTAATTCTTGTGGCATAAAAGGCTAAGACATATCTCTAGCGAAAGAAATGATAGATTAGTGAATGATAGAATTTAAAAAATCTTGACTTTACTGATTTTTAAGTACGTATAGATTGCATAAAAAAAAGTAAACTAAACATACAAAGAAATGTGCAATAAGAAATAATGAGCTTCTTGAGATAATTCATACGGACATTTAAGGACCACTCTTCATTCCTTGTTTCACTGGAGAAAGGTATTTCATCACTTTTATAGATAATCTATCTCGGTATGGTTATGTATATCTAATGCATGATAAGTTTCAAGACATTAACATCTTTGAGGTGTACTTCATAAAGGTTAAGAGACAATTAGATAGAAAGGTTAAGACTGTGAGATCTGATCTAGGTGGTGAATATTATAGTAGATACGATAAGTCAGGACAAAATCCTGGTCCTTTTGCCAGATTCCTAGAAAAGCATGACATTCGTGCTCAATACACAATGTCAAGTATGCCACAACTTAATGAAAGACATAATCGTACTTTAATGAAAATTGTTATGAGAATAATGAGTTATTCTTCTGTACTTATTTCTTTATGAGTGAAGCCTTAAAGACCGTACTTGAATAGAATTCTTAGTAAGGCAATATCTGTAACTCATTTCGAGTTATGGACTGGTAGAAAATCAAGTTTAAGACATTTACATATATGAGATTATCCAGTGGAGGCAAGAATCTTTAATCTTCATGAGAAAAAGCTAGATTCAATAATAATATCTGGATATTTTATTGGTTATCTAGATAAATCTAAATGATATAGATTTTACTGTCTTAACCATAGTTCGAGAATAGGTGAAACTGGTAATGTCAGATTCT